AGAAATTGCTACTATTTTGCATTGTTTTCGAACAAAACGTAAATAAAAATCGAAATTGAATTCGTTTTTGCAATTTACCTTAAATTGTTCAAATTTTTGAGTCATCTAGTGAACCTTTCAGTCTAACAGATATTGCATTTTTTCTTACTTCATGCTATACGCTGACCATGATCACTTCCTAAATAATCTCTGACCCTGATTAACGAAATGAACCAATTTTCTTGAACAGTTAAGATAAGCTTTCATAAAAATAAAAATAATAATAAAATAAATAGTGCCAGATTTTGTAAGATTGTTTCAATTCCTTCCAATTTTTAGTTTGTTATGAAATTTACTAAAAAGGGTTTACATGCGTTTAACCTGCTCATTTTATCTTTGTACACGTGCAATTTTCTATTTTTATTTTGTTTTCCTGTAAAGGTTTCAACTAAACTGTTATGCTAAATCCCGAGGACCCACGTCGAAGTACTGTTTAAACGATCATTAAATCAATTGTAGATTCAGTACAATCGTCCCATTAGCCAGTAGAAAAACCCATACGAATTGTTTGTGCGTGGACAAGCAGAAAAACAAAACTAAACAATATTAAATGGTAAAAACCGGATGGCAAAGTTCACATTGAACGATTATCCACAGAGAGATCGACGACCTCAAAACTCACCAATGTTATTCAATAAACGATCTGTTGCCACTCCTTTGTACTCGATTGTTTGGAAGTAGATGGTTTTATTAATGAACTGAAGTATCTTTTTACTTTTTATAGTAGCACTTTGATTAATGAATTAAGTTCAAGTCATTTGTGGAACATTGACCGTAATTACTAATTCGTGTTAGTTTATTTGATAAGTCAGATTAAAAATTGCTATTTTTCTGAATCGCAATATGTATTAAGATTCATGATAGTGTCAATCTTACATTTTTATGGTTGCAGCTTTTTATAAATAACGAATGGGTTGAATCTAAGTCAGGGAAGACCTTCGACACTGTAAACCCTGCTACCGGGGAAGTAATAACCCAGCTGCAGAGAGGATCTAAGGTGATTGTTAAACAAAATTAAAGCCAATTGAAAAGCTAAAATTTTTGAATTTTATCAACAGGAAGATGTTGACGTCGCGGTCGAAGCGGCGAAAGAGGCTTTCAAACTGGGATCACCCTGGCGGAAATTGGACGCTGCGAAAAGAGGAAAACTCATCTATAAACTAGCCGAACTTCTAGAAAGGGACTCTGTTTTACTTTCTGTAAGTTTTCAATAAAGATTTGTATTATAGGAATTTTTTATAAAATAAAACTTGCAGAGCCTGGAAGCGCTCGAATGCGGAAAAGTTTACGTACCTACTCTGAAAGGAGATCTGCCGTGGGCTGTGAGGAATTTGAGGTATTTCGCAGGAATGGCTGATAAAGGCAACGGGATCACTGCACAAATTGACGGCAACTTCATGGCTTACACTAGGCAGGAGCCTGTGGGCATTTGCGGCCTCATAACCGCCTGGAACTTTTCGCTGCTCATGATTACCTGGAAATTGGCACCGGCCATCGCGGCAGGTATTGTCCGCCATGTAAAATAAGGGAAAAAAACATTAATAAAGGGTTGTTTAGGATGCACGATGGTCTTGAAGCCGTCACAGCATACTTGTTTGGCAGCCCTGCATCTCGGTGAGCTGGTTAAAGAAGCAGGTATACCTCCTGGGGTAGTAAACATCGTCCCTGGATTCAGCGACGTAGGAAGTGCAATCGCCGAACACCCTGAAATCAATAAAATCTCTTTCACCGGCTCGACACCTGTAAATGTCGTATATACAAAAGTAAATATCTTCAATTAACTTCCTGTTTCTTTCAGGTCGGTCAAAAAATTTACGAAAAGGGCGCACTCAACATGAAAAGACTGACGTTGGAACTCGGGGGAAAATCTCCAAATATAATCTTGAAAGGGGCAAACATCGACGAAGCAGTCGAACACGCACACTATGCTGCATTCCACAACATGGTAGGGTAATTTATGGATCATTCAAATATTTAAAAATTAATAAACATTTCTTCAAGGGTCAATGCTGCTGCGCTGGGTCCAGGACGTTCGTGCACGAATCATTGTACGATGAGTTCGTCGAAAAGAGCAAGGCAAGGATCAAAGCGAGACGGATCGGAAACCCTTTTGATTTAGACGTCGACCACGGACCACAAGTAAGTCAAAACTTAAAGTTTATATGAAACAAACAATAACAAATTTCAAACTCAGGCGACACAAGATCAATTGGACGTCGTGATGAAATACATCGAAATAGGCAAAAAAGAAGGTGGACACGTCGAAGTTGGTGGAAACCGAATCGACCGGCCGGGATTTTACGTCGAGCCTACTTTATTCACAAACGTTAAGGATGAAATGACCATTAGCAGAGAAGAGGTAAACCTTTTCTTCTTTCATTTGTAACAACGATCTGTAGTTGAACGGTTTATCTACATCTTTCATTAAATATAAGCTATCAAACAGCAAACTCCTTTCCTTGTAATATCTTTTACAAGTCATAATGATGTGTTCAAGATCCTCAGTTACCTTACATGTTTCACATAATTTGTCCCTACGTTGTTTGATCCTTTCTAAATATACTCCACAGATCCCATGATTTGATCTTAACCTAATCATAATAGCACAATCCTTCTTTGACCATTTGAGGTTGTGAAACCAGGGCTTCTCGTTTATATCGGGATTAATGGAAGTAAAGAAAGCCCCCGTAGGAGTGTCATTGTTATATACGCCATTTATCTATCATTTGGGATCTGATTTTACTCCTTGCATCCTGTAAGGGTATAGGAGTCAATGCCTCTGTCCCTTCAGTGATGGCTCGTTTAGCTAGACTATCAACCACCGAATTACCCTCTATGCCTGAATGGCCCCGAACCCAAAGAAAGCGGATGTCAATGTTTTTCGTTTGTTTAACTTCCTCTCTCTCTCTCTCTCTCTTTCTCTCTCTCTCTCTCTCTCACATCTCTTTCTTACTCCCATATAGTAATCAATAAGAACTGTCAAGAAATTGCTACTATTTTGCATTGTTTTCGAACAAAACGTAAATAAAAATCGAAATTGAATTCGTTTTTGCAATTTACCTTAAATTGTTCAAATT